CCCGCCTCCGCTCGACCTTCTCCCCCACCCCTCCCCACCGGGAGCGGCCCCGGGCGGCCCCGTGGAAACCCAGGCCCTCGTCCCTCGTGTCTCGCCAGGCTTCGTGAGCTTCGACAACCCGGCCAGCGCGCAGACCGCCATCCAGGCCATGAACGGCTTCCAGATCGGCATGAAGAGGCTCAAGGTGCAGCTGAAGCGGCCCAAAGACGCCAATCGCCCGTACTGAGCGCCGGCGGGAGCGTCCCCCGGGGGAGACCAGGACTCGCACAGGTAACAGGGGCTGCCAGGGCGTGGGGACGGGAGGTTTGGGAAGGGACTTAAGACAGACCCGCCGCCTTCTTGGACCTCCGTGGGCCTGACCCTCACTAGTGCCTTGGACCCGATGCGCCAGGCTCAGCCTGCTGCTTACCCAGTGCCTACAGGGCAGGAGCAGAGCTGTGGTCATCTTGGCAGACATGGGCACGATCGTCCCTTTGCCCCGGGCCAAGGGATAGGAGTGAGGGAATTGTCTGAGAAGGTGAGGTGAACCTGGGCCTGGGCCTGAGGTCTCCACTGGCAGTCCTTGGCCCTTGGGCGGCAAGCTCAGACCCCGAAGAGAGCTGTAGCCATGGGTTGGGGCATCTCCTAGACTCTCTGGCTCTCTGTTGCCTGGTTCTGCCAGGAGGGCTGGCTGGCAGTCTTTACACCCCTTACCCCTCACTCTGCAGTTGCCCGTAGCTCAGTCAGGGCCAAGAGGTAAGCCTTGCCAAGGAAACTATCAGGAAACAACAAGCTGGGACAAAAGTTAGGGAGGCAATGAAATCCCTTTCCCTGCCTGTTATATGGGTAGTGATGAGTAGGTGGTTGTCACCTGTCTGCTTAGGCAGGGGCCTGTCTAGCAGCTGGAGACAGCTGCTCCTCTTCCTGGCCAAGTGTGCTCCTGGGCAGAGCAGCTTCTGAGAAAGTGATAGGAGGAGATGTTCCATTTGTTTGGCAGTACTGTGCTTTAGGTGTTGTGTTAGGTACTCAGAATGCTGCAGTGACTAAAACTGAGAATGAAGAGACAGACAATAGATTACTTAAGTTTGTTAAAATTGTTGGCTACAGCTAAGTCATGGGGTCAGGATTTTCAGCCTGCCTCATTTTAACATTTCAGCCAAGACCTGAAGAAGGTGAGAGAGGGAGCACCAGGGAGGGGAGGTGTCCTCCCTCTGAGGACACAGCCAGTGTGCAGGCCCCAAGGTGAGGGCAGGGGCAGTGTGTCCAGGGAACAGCGGGTAGCAGGAGGAGAGTTTGGGCTGAGAGAGTGGCAGGAGAGATTGAGAGTGAAGAAGCTTGGGGTCTGCAGGTCATTGTGAAGACTTCCGTGAGAGGGGCCTTGGAGAGGTATGATAGAAGAGTGATACAGTTAAGTTGCATTTGGTGGGATGGTATACTGTGTTGATGTTGGGTTGCAGGGGCTGAAGCACTGCACTGACATTTCAGTCCAGGGCAACAGCAGCAGTCAGTGTGTAGTGGAGTTGATGTCTAGATATGCTTTGAAAGCCAAGCCAAAGATGCTGTTTCTCATGAATGAGGAGCGTGAATGAAAGGGGATCCAGGCATGACTCCCAAGCTTTTGGCTTGAGTAACTAGAAGAGTGAAGAGCCTGGGAGAAAGATAAGGCATGTGAGGGTTAGACATTCAAGTGAAAGTCCAAGGTCTGGAAATAGGGAGGAAGTCTCCACAGAATGCCCTATTTGCAACTCACTGGAGCAAGGGTCTTCTCTTTGTGAGATGCTTGGGCCACACTCTGCAAGCCTGGAAGAGCCAAACTGGCCAATGGCCTCGTAATTTCTTGGCCCTGTCCACTTTTGGCTTTTGTACAGATGCAAACACACAGATCAGTTCAGAGTTTAAGCAACTTCTGGTGTCAGGCACTGGGCATAGCACTGGGGATGCAAAAGATGAAAGGTCATATCCTGGAGCTTCCCTCTCTGTGCTCATAGAGACACTAGAAGGCAGCCAGCAGGAGGAAGAGCAGGATGGTTTGGTGCACAGAGCTTTTCTGGATGTAGAACAGTTTTCCTTAAATAAGTATAGCTCTGCCATTCAGACAGGATCTGGGCCAGGGCCCTCCCCACTCTGGGCTTCCATCGCCTCATTACTGAAACCAAGATGTTAAAACATTCAGAAGATTGGGGGGTGGGGCACTTATTAGCATCATCCTCTGAGAATCTGAGGGGTCCATGTGGATGTTTTTGATAGTGGCTCTTCTGGTCTAGTCACCTAGCTCCAAGCAAGGGTAGAATCTCTAAGTCAGAGACATTCCTGGGTGAAGAGTTGAGGAAGGCAGGTTTGTTGTTTGGGACAAAAGGCAAGAAGTGGCCCACCAGGTAGATCCAGCTGGCACTCAGTTGGGGTAGGAGCTGTGAAGGAACAGTTTAAGAAGCAGGATGGGTTCTTCCATCATGGAATGCAAAGGCCAGAAAGATGAGAACCACAGCCCTTCACACAGTACTTGCTCTGTACCTGGCACTTTTCTGACGGTAACAGCTATAAGCTAGAACTGTGTCTACCTATCAGATGATGGTGGCAGCATTCCCACTGTACTGATGGAGCACAAGAAATTTTAAGTAATTTCATCAGCCAGTAAATGGTGGAACCAAGCTTTGAAGCTAGGGAGCCTAGCTCCCTTCAAATGAGGAGAGTAAGAAACTCCTACCCTCACCCCAACCCTGCCAATCCAGTGTGTCCTGAATGTTGGAGGGAACACATCATGCCACCTCAAGAAGTGATTACCCCTCACTTCTTTGGGGTAAGCCATTTGACTACCTCCTTTCTACTAAACAGTCTTTAAAAACTATATTATGGCATGACCCCTATAATAAGTTGGCCTTTTAATCTTCACTTAGATGGCATTTAGCGATATGCCTTCAGGCTCTCCAACCCAAGACTGTTGGAAACTGTAACAGAAGGAGGGTGCTGAGAAGAGTTGGGAGAGTTTCTCAAGGTAGTCTGCAGACACAAGAGGCTGTTCGCTCCTTGGGCTGCCAAGGCAAGGCAAGAGAGGAAGTGGCTCAAAAAAGGAGTTAAAAGACTGGACAGTACCTCAGGCTAATATAGGGTGTTTATAAATGATGGAGCCTGAGCTAGAGTCATAAGGCTTGGAAGGGTAGGGAAACCTGAGGAGGAGCTAAGGGGACCAGCCATAGTGGGGGACAAAGAGGTAGTGAGGAGGGGGATCCCAGGTCCAGGTTGGCCATCTTGCACTGGTGGAGTTGGTGGTAAAAGGCAAAGTCAAGATCAGAGTGGGACAGATATGGGGGAGGAGAGGGGCCGAGGCAGGCAGCCATGGGAAAACAGTTGGGTTTATTTCCTTAAAATTAAGGCACCAGATGGGGGTTGAGGAGTGATCAGGGCGGGGGTAAAATATGGTTCTTCCTTACTAGCTTCTAGTCTTGTCGCTGGGCTTGCTCCTCTGGCTGCTTGGTGCATTGTCTCATGTGAAGATGGGAGTTTCTCCAAGAAATCTGTACTAAGAAACTAGGGAAGGAAGAATAACGTGGATATGGCAAGGTCCACACGCAGAAGGCAGAGCATTCCAACCCTGTACCTGCTTAAGTCAGAGATTGGCTTCCAAGTTCCCTGTCCTACCATCAAGTTGACTTGTACAAATGGGGCTCCAACAACAGCAGTGATTCCCAGACTCTGATCACTAAGGTTCCTTAGGACTCTAGTGGGAGTCCTATCTCTAGCTCTAGGCTTTGGCTCTGAGTGTGCATTTGCACCATGTCTGGTGTGAGCTTCACAGGCATAGGTGTTCGTTCCCTTGTGACCTATGTAGGATAGGGCTGTAGTTTTGGGTTTTGACCCTGTCTGGTTAGAACTTAGTTGTTTTAGTATCTCGTGTCTGAATTGGTTCAGCCTGGCCATAGTTTCCGCAGGTCAATGAGTTGGAGCTTCTCCCACCTGATCTCAGCTTCCCTATGTTGGTCACTGATCACATTGCCACTTTCAGTGCTCTGCTCTGTGAGGTGCCCCAGAGACTGGCACACAGAGAATGCAGCTGCAACGTAATGAAGAGATTTGCCAGCTGTGTACATGGGGGAGCTCGAGAGAGGTTCCTTGGGGGATTAATGGATACGAGGTTGCATTGTGTATCTGGGGCCATGTTTGTGGAAGTGGTGAGATTATGTGTAAGAAAGTTCCCTACATTGAGCTTTGGGGAGAGAGACTGTTTGTATTCATTGTTGAGTCCAAGTACGCAGGATAATACCTGGCACTGAGGGCCAGATGGACTAAAGCCAGGGGAGGGAAAAGGAACAAGCAGAATAGGAAGGAATGAATGGCCATGATGTGCCCAGGACTGTTGTGGAAGGAAGGGAGGTGGAATCCTCAGGGTGTCCTTTAGTTGCAGTTGCCATAGCTGATATGGGCAACAATACTCTCCTAGGTTCCTTTAGGTCTCCCTCTCATGCCAAGGGGAGCTGCCAAGTAGGCATCCTGGGTAGAACTGAGAGGTTTTGCAAGGGTTGGAAATTAGATTAGATTAGATTAGAGTGACATTTTAGGACATTTTTGGGCATGTGTTGGGGACCCTGGTCTGAGTGAGGGAGAGCTGGTATTGGAAGAAAACAGAACCCACCTTGTGGGACAGGCAAGGAAGGGGTCTGCAGAGGAAGGGAGGCTGGGGATGTTTCTGTGAAGGCTGAGCTGGAGGCCAGCCACAGGCTCAAAATAGAATCACTGGTCAGCTACTGCCCAGTCTATCCACTGTGGCATTTTAAGACCCCAGGTTTCCTTTCCACTTTCCTGGAGGGAAAACAGAACTGACAGTGGAAGTCCACTGCATGGAGAGGCCGGCAAGATGGACTGGAAACCCTGCAAATAAGTCTAAGGCACAGAGGCTCGGGCACAGGCTTCGGGGCTACAGAAGAACAGAAAATGATGGGGAGCAAGCTCACAGATAACCAATGGGGCTTGACAGAGCTGGAGACCCTGATTCTTATGGGGAGGCAGACCACCATAAAATGGTGATCAAGGGAGAAGGCAGCTCAAAGCTGAGCAATTTGATGATGGCTGATAGAGAAGGGAGATCATTCTTAGTGAGGAGGACTCCTCCTACAGAGAAAGGTCAGGACCTACCAACTGGGGAGACAGACAGTCTGGAAAGATAGGGGTGGGATAGTGGGAGGGCAAAGTAGAGGAAGAATGAGGATGAGGAGCCCTTTCTGGTGGACCTACCCTGTGGAACACCTTATAGCCTTCCACATGGTCCTTTTATGTGCCAGTCTTCCAAGGGCTTTATGCGCCCAGTTTGGTCACTTTGGGGACAAATCAAAGGATATGAACTGGTGATGTAAAATCAGTAGTGCCCAGCTTTGTTTAAAGAATCCCAAGACATCAATGTAATTTACTCTAAATCTGAAAATGAAACATGTTTATTTTTGGAAGGTTCTGAGGAAAGAGGTGTGAGCAGAGTGGGAGGGAAAGGACCATCCCATCCCACTGTGGGTGCTCATGTTGCCTGGAGACACTCCAGGCAGGGTGGGGTCCAGGTGGCATCCATAGGTGGGAGGGCTGCCCCTGTGGACCCTACAGCAGAATGTCTCAGGGACACAACTCACCTTACGGGGCCTCCAACCTGTGTAGCCGGTCAGGGCCACTGACCTTGGCTGGTGCTCAGGCTGAAATCACAAAAAGCAAAGCTGGGGTGGTATGGAGAGTTTTGCATCTGGGGGAGAAAGAATCCAGGGTGTTAAGAGCTTGCTCTCTGAGATCTGCTTGCCAGCCACGGTGGTTTGAGGGGCTGTTTTATTTTTTTCCCGGCCCCCTTGCTAAACCGCCCGTGCCCGCCTCCTCTTCCCAACGCATGATGGATGCCCTTAGTGGCCCTGTGTGAGGTTCTGCTGCTGTTCACAGTGTATCATGTGTCTGCATCAACAGCTGTGTGTGTGTATGTGTGTGTGTTGATGTGCCCATGTCGTCTGTCGCTGGCTTCATCCTTTGAGTTCTTTTCAGTTCCCTTATGATTTGACTGCGTTCTCTCATCAGAGCTTCTAGATTGATGCTGTGGTCTGGTGCTGTATAAATATTTTTCCTTTTAATTTTGTTTTAACTTCTTCCTTGCCCTTCTTCACCCTCAACCCAACTCTCCTTCCCCCCACCACACTCCTCACCCCACCCAACCTGCCCCTGCCACTTCCCTCCCCCTGCCCAAACTCTCTTGTCCTCTCTCTCTCTCTCTACATATATAAATATATATATATAAATCTTTTCTTCTTTTGTCATTCAATCAAATTCCAACAACCCAACCAGGGCCAGTCAAATCCACCACAGTCTCGCGCTGAGCTAGGAATAAAGTTCACGTAATCACATGAGAGTGGAGAAAAGTCCCCCATCCGTAAGTTCAAATCAACTCAAAGTTCACAGTGTGACATGATGGCGTCATGTAACAAGGCTAAGAATCGGTTGCATGACAATTGCCGTCAAGTTTCGTGGAGGTGCTGTGATTGGAGCGTTTTTCTTGGATGTCGTATCCGTTGATGATTGGCCAGTCATGATCACACGTGCATTTTCTTGACTTTTGTGCTGCCACGATCTTTTTTGCTGTGCTCATTTTCGTTTCGTTCTTGGTGCTTGCAGTGGTTTTACTTTCTGTTGTTTGGTTTTTCTTGTTCAGCGTTTTTTTATGCTTCTCTAGATGTCACTTAGATTAAAAAAAAAAAACTAAAGAACAAAAAATTAGTAAAAATAAAAGATGAATTCCTGAATTACAAACATGGGATCATTTAACTATGCAAACCATTATTTTTTTCTTAAAAATAAGGAAAACATCTTAAAAATATCTATGCGTGGTTGATTTAGTTGCACTTGAAAATATTGTGATTTTTATTTTTTTCTAGAAATTTGGGGGCCTTTTTCAATTGACACTTTCCTAGGTCTGGTCTTTTTCCAGTTAGGCTATTTTAAATCTCACCTCAAAAGAAAAAACCAAAACCAAAATATGTACAGTAACAAAAATGATAAAAAATTTTAAACAAAACAAAAAAAAAATGTAGAGTAAAAGCCAGAGGCCTCTGACAGAGAGCCCAGTAACTATTGTAAGGTTTGTATTATAGCCACTTCTGCTAAATTCAATGTGGGGAGGGGAGGTGGGGGTTTGGGGGCTTGGGAGGGCCTTTTTGGTTGGTTTGGAACAAACAGTACTGACAAAAGCAAAATGCACCTTTTTGTTTACAACTGAAAAAGGGTCCTTGACAAGTGTTTTTTAATTTTATTATTATTTTATTTGGTGTTGTAATTGTTTAGACTGCTGTGTACGGTTTGCTGTTTGTTGAATCAACAGTGTGAAAAACCTGCCAGCATGGATTGATATACGCATGACGTTGTCCCCTCAACTGGGGGCTTTGCAGTTCTAACTTTCTTGATGTAACCAGTCACCCCATGTATAAGTGGAAGCTGCTTGCTAGAATGGAGATGAGTCTCATTTGTTAATTCACAACAATTAAGCATTTGCCTTCTGATTCTAGTCAGATCATGATTTTTTTTCTTAAAAGCAAAACGAAATACCAAAAATATCACCATTCCAAACAAAAATCAAGAACTGTCTGAGTTAATTTATTTAAGATTGATAATTAAATCTGTTCTGACCTTTTTTAGGTTCTCCTGTCCATTCCCTTGAAGTTCTGAATTTCCTGTAAATTCCCTGGCATGTATGAGAAAAGTCTTATGCATGTGTGTATGTGTGTATATATACATATACATATACACATATCCATGTATACCCACATATGTGCAGGTGAATATATTCTACATCTATATCCAGATACACACATATATATATATATATACAGCCTAGCAAATCATTTTTGACTTCCGGGAAAGAAGTGGTTGGCTGGAAACTGGGAAAGGATTCTGCAAAATTCAAGTCATGGCTCTGTCTTCCTTGTTTTCCTCAAATTGGGGAGTGGGTGAGGTATATAGATTTTTGCTCTCTTGTTTGCTAGGCTTCTGTATACATATTGTATCTGGGATAGATCCCTCAGGGACAAGTTTAATTTTGAATTAATATCCCACAGTCTCAAATTCTTCCCTAGATCTAGTCAACCCTTAATCCAGAACAGTAGAGGAACCCAAATCAAGAACTCTCCCAACAACTAAACCTTAGCTATTCCCATCACCACTAGAGACCCAGTGGTTTCTCACTCTGAATAGAAGAGCAAATTTCTTTTGACTGTATCATGATCATGACTAATTCTCATCTTGGTCTCTCTTCCTTCCCTCCTGCCATCCCCCAGAGTTTTCATCCTACTACCCCAAGGCAGGTTCCTATTGGTGTTTGGATGCATTTGTGTTTTCTCTCTTGGCTTAATCAGCCCTGATTTTCTTCATTTTAGGGCAGGATGCTGAACGGGCTACATTAAAAAAAAAAACCTCTTTCTCTCTCTATTTATAAATGAGAACTGTTGGATGACACCTTTGACATATCAGCCAATATCAATCAAGCTGAAGACTCCAGACACTGTTTGACTGTAACATTTCTTCAAGGAAAGTATAGCGTCTATGGAGTTCAGAGGGCACGTGTTTGGGGGAAAAATATACATGACATAAAGAAGACGACGATGAAGAAAAATGAGAAAAAAAAAAAAAACACAAAAAAGGCAACTTTAAAACAAAGTAACGTGAGACCAGACGGGGAGGCTGAAGGGCTGGGCACTTGGAGGAGACGCTGCTGCTCACTGAACCCTGGGCTTTTCCAGCCTGTGGGCGCCTGAGGCAGGCGGGGCAAGCGTGCTGTGGGGCCTGGTCCCCAGCGCGGCCAGGAGGCCGCCACTGAGCATCTCTGTCATTCCTTTAGCTGTTTAGGGACCAAAGGACCAAACTTTTTATTGCAGATGTGTAGCTCTATGACAAATAGAGGAGGAATGGAGAACACCTCCTTCCTGCCTCCTGGCTGTTCTTGAAACAGCTTAGAGCGATTCTATGAAAAATGTAATTAAAACAAAAACAAAAAAAAAAAACAAAAAAAAAAACAAGAAAACAAGAAAAAAAATAAAAAATAATAATGCTTCAATGCTTTCGAAACAGCAAGATACTAGTTCTTTGATACTTTGAGAGGCGCTTTGATTACCCTCATTGAAGTCTATGACACTTTCCTATGGTTTTCTGTATTATATGTCTGGATGGAGCTGTTAAAATGAACAGATTGCTGGATATTTGGGGAAAGCAACAAAAGTATTAAAACTCATTAACTGTGAAGTGTGAGAACAAAAGGAGGGGAACAAAGAGACTTCCAAGGCAAGGTAATTGTTGTGAAAAGTCTGTAAATGCTTCTAACTCTTCCCCTCTTAAAATCATAATAGTTGTACAGAATTTTAAAAAGGAAAAGTTTAAAATACCTATATAATAGAAGAAAAATTAGAGGAAAGCAAAAAATAAAAAAATAAAAAAGGAAAAAAAAAAACCTATAGAAGTTAGCGTTACTGCTAAAATCCCAGATGTTGTAGGACTGTACTTTTGTAGAGTTTAGACTGAGCATCAATCCCTTCTCCCCTCGAGTGCTGTCGGATGCCGTTGTCCCGAGGGCCACGCCGGACTCTCCCAGACCTGC